TTGGCTAGATTTTAAATATAAATATAATAGCGCAGAATGCTACACTTACATCCTATGTGTGTTCAAGCAGTTGCATTTAGTAGGGCTGGGAAACATGGCCTAAAAAGAAAAGCTCAGATTTTTTGCAACCTACTCACGATTTATGATTCAGATTTAAAAAAAAAAAAAAAGAAAAGAAAAAACATAATTTAAATGTTTATTTTAACCATGTTTAAGACATGAACTGCTGCTGTTAGCCTAAGCTTGCCAACTTTGGTCAGCTGGCTGGAGTGAGATTTTCATATTTACATGTACATAAGTTTTAATACCTTGTAATTTTTCTGTAGGATTTGAAAACTACCCCAACACTTTTGACATAACTAATTTTAGGTCTATAATGGAATAATATAGATTGGCCGTAAGATTTTTGCATGAGCATGAGTCTGACAGTGTGAGTGTCACATCAGATGCAATAGAGCTGGCAGCTCTGCAAAGCTTGCTGCACACTCCAGCCACTCGGCCGCGTGCCTCAGCAGGTGCTGATGGATACCCACCACAGGATAGCTAGATAACTGCCGTTCCTTTAGTCGGGGTCCTAGCTTGACCGACGCCCCTACCTTACATTATTGCCTTTATTGCACAGGTAGCAAAACTCCATCTTTACATATTTCATGTCGCTCTCTTATGAGACACATCAAAGTAGTTTTAGGGGTTGAAAGCCTTACTCAAGGGCCAAAAAGTGAAATGATCACAGACATGGGACATGCAAAACCTTGCAGACACTGATTACCCTGCAGAATCACGGCCCAGCAGAGCCCTGTGTTATAGATAGTGGGCAAAATGGATTTAACAATGTCCAGTTATGGACCAGATCTGATCCAGATTCACAGGGACCTTGTGATCATGGAAGATGGATGGATTTAAAAATGTTCCTAATCACCCAGGTGTTTTGTGGTTTATTTGTCTTGCAAGGATAAAAGAGCTGTAAAAGTCCAGAAATTGCTGATGAGGTTTGAAATTGCTTTTCCACTTGACTCATTCACCAGCATGAAGAAAACAGATGTCTCTATGACAGAAAAGACTTTTATTTTCAAGATGGGAGAAAACAAATGACTTGCTGAAAATACGCAATTACAGTGTCTGACGGAAAGAAAGCCAATCTTGGGCAAGCTCTCATGTGCAGTCAGAACAGAAGGACTCCAACCACCTGCCCAGTGCACAGGTGTGCTCATACTGCAGAGCCACACCCCCCCCAGAGGGTGGCAGTCTATAATCACCCATGCCTGCAGCCAGTCTATCAGTCTGCTTAAGATCACTCTGGTCAAGGCTTATGCTCTGCCTTCACAGGCTTTCTCAGCTGTAGTTGGTTTTGCGAGTTGGATGGTTTATAGTCTAGCTGAGTATTCTGGATTCTATTTGCTGGTAGCTATGATCTTATCCTCGGTCACTCCCATGCAGGTCAGAGTCCAGCCCTGCCATCTCACAGTGAGGGGTGTCATCAGCACCGACTACTCAGACGTCAGCTTTTCAAAGAAAGGTCTGGCAGGCAGGAGAGCTGGCGTCACGTGTGTGTAAAGCCTGGGTGTGTCCGATTGCCCTGTTTTTTTTTTTTTTGTTTTGGAACATTATGAGGTTCTCTTTTGTTTTTTTGTTTTCTTCAATTCTGTCCCGTGGCTGTGACAAGGCCCAGGTTGTTCTATCAACACAGGAAGCAAAAATAAACAAGAATATCCAATGAAAAAAATCCAGCAGAATTAATGGGCAGCAGGTCTATAACCTGAAACACTGTGTGTTTACACAGTCCATCAGCCAAAGGGGTAATGTTTTTAGTTGGGCCATTTCTAAGGGTCCTATAGAGGATTAGAGGTGGTAATTTTCTTAACTTTTTTCATCAGAGCTGGGTGGAATCCAGAATATGCTTTGGTTAAATGATCAAATACTTTGGTGTGAATTACCTATAAATAAAAGGTCACTTTTTTTTATTATTTGAGATTCCCGTTACTGAATCCAAGTTAACTGTCATGTGACCAGGGCCGGTGAATCCTATAGGTGACATAGGCACTTGCCTAGGGCACCAACTTCGGAGGGGTCACCGACTTGCCAGTTGATTTCACTTTGCCTTGGACTGGGAGGCGCCAGTGGTGGTGCTCACCGAGGCCCCGAGTCGGCTTGGACCAGTACTACACATGACAGATGTAGTGAACCTGCCACCCAAAATGAACATGGTTCTGTCTGAACATCCCTTCAACTGACAACAATCTCAAGAGTTGGACAGTTTGTAAGTTACAGTCAATAGACAAGGAGCTGTAAATACTTTACAGTGTCCCAGTCAGCAGTCACTGGAAGCCCTCAAACCAACATTACTGAGCGAGAAATTATGTGCAAATCCAACATGGTGTTTCCTCCAATCTCCAAAACATAACCTTCTCATCAATCCTGCTCACCCGGCCCGGACACACAGAACTCACATGACCTGGACAAAATCAGCCGAAAACAGATGTCCAGGGGGTCAGCAGGCCTGGAATGTTCCTGCCCTGATTCCCAGAGCCTTTCCTGATTAGCTGGCAGATTGGAGGAAGCAAATCGCCCTGCTTTTATTAGCTGCCTGCAGATATACAGTAGTGTGCTTTGGTTGGAAGAGTTTCCCTCACTATCATTTGAATTTTAAGGCACCTTTTATGTAATATTTGTCTAACATCTCACGACTTGGTGTTGTTAAAGACATAAGCCACCATATCATTAGCCGGCTTTGTGATTTGCCCGTCTGATTCCTCGCTGGGGGTAGATACTGCAGGTAAGGCGTCCACCATGCAACGCGTCACCTGAGGTCAGGCATTCCTGCCGGCTCCTCCTGTCCCGCTGCCAGTCGTGTTGTCACATTTGCTTGGAGCGCCAGGCAGCAGGCTCAAACACGCTCAGGGGAAATTACCGTTGTAGCCTGGGGTGCAGAAACAGGCACACCTGAGAGAGGGCGTCTCCGCGTGAGTGAGTCTGCTCAGCTGGCGAGCCTGGACACGTGGGCCCTGCTCTCCGCTCCAGGCTGCAGCTGCACCTGCTCCCTCTGCGGCTGACAACAGGTGGGCCGCCTCATTCTGGGCTCCTATTACTCACCTGTTGATGGATCCGCCCTGCCTGCCTGCTTGCCAGCCTGCCAGTCTTTGCCGCTGGTCCTCATCCCTCAAGCTCCGCCCCTGCTCCCCTTCATCCACACATAGACACTACACTGGTTTTGAAGGATATGTACAGCTGCTGGGATACAGGTGCATCCAGTGCTGGCTTTGTGATGCCAGCCTTGACTCTCTCCACTCACCCTGCTAACACTACAGACCTAAAAGCAGTATGATCCCAGACCAATGGATGTGGCAGCTGACTGTCAGCCCTTTAGCCAAAGTGCTGACCTATGATCACAACCACTGTGAAAGTGCCATGCAAGTTAATGAGATAAGGAGGGTTTCAGCTGTTAATACTTCTAGTGTCATTCTGGGGTCAGTGCTGGTAGATGCCTTGTAAAGAACCACCTCATCAGTGGCGGTGACTCTAGAAACTCTGTGTTCCTCACCTGTGTTTGGGGGGGGGGGCAAGCCTGCATGGATGGCTAGTCCAGAACACATGACAGAGATGCTTATGGAGAACAACAAAGAATGGTGAATATCCTAAGAATACTGCTCAGCACAGCATGAGGGACA